GCCTGTGTGAAGAGAGTCCGTGGTGTTTGGTATCTTCTTACGGTATCTTTTCTCGTATCTTTTTAGCCGGTCCGTGTAAAAACTCTTGAGTAGCAACTTATTACCCACATCCTTCATAATTATTAGCTAGTGGCAGTTTGCATCAGCCGTAGCAGATATGGGGCAAAGTCACTCAGCCCCCTCCCGTATGGCTCTTAACGACCAAGACTTGCACTCCAGCAAGCCGGGTGCCGATCGACTGACTCCCACGTCTATGCAGCGCACCTTGCACAAATCAAACAACTTTGATACAAGATCCAATGCTACACCACACGAGATGTGAGCCCACTCAGACAATCTTATTCCCATTCCGACCAGTGAACCCCTTACTTGTTCAATTCAGGTAATTAACGCTCACACCCCCTCCTCTGTATAGAAATCAAAAGAACCTAAGAAAACACAACCCATTTTTTGTTTCTTCTTTTAATTAATGAGTACTGAAAAGTCTGGCCCACCGTCTTTGTGAACGTAGCTATTTCTTATACTCGTTGGCATCTGCACGTGGGCGAGACTGTCTTTTGAAACTCCCACGCTCTCTCACCATTGCCAAGTGTGATATTTACTGTATTCTCCTTACAACTCAAATTGAAAGACAGAAGCAGATCGCACAGAGGGGAAAAAAACTCGTCGTAATGAAAGAAATAACCCCTCTTAATTATTGTCTTCTGGATCGTTACACACTGCGTGTAATAAATTTCCCCTATTAGAGGCATTTCGGAAATGCTTTATGACATTATTTTCACTGACAAATATATCGGGCACGGTTCTGCTGTTGGTGGCAGCTTATTTTTTTTTGCTCGTCAACAGCCAGCGCTTGATATAAATTCTGGAAAGGAGGTTTTGTTTTCGTCATTCTTTCGGAGCATAGGTGTGCTGGAGGGACCGTTCGTCTGGCTTAGTTTTTTGTCGGGGTCGAGATTGTAAAAGGTAAGGCACCACTTTTTTCCACCCTCGGACAGTTACTCGAAAGATATTTCAATCTGATTAACCGTTCAGCACCCTTATTGCGACAATCACATTTTGTTAGCATCTGGAAACTTGTTTCATCTTTTCTGATCTGTTGTTTTGTAACTCGCCTCCTAAAATCGAAATATGTGTGGTCTCGTATCCAGTTTGTAAACATGGTCAATCAGTGTAAATTACCATCGTATAAGAATTGAAAAACATATTGTGAAACAAAATAACATTGGCCTAGGAGCCACGAGTGGCCCTTTGCATCAAGTTCAAGGCAGGTCTCTGGAACCGATACTTTTGTTTTCGCGGTGCTTGGAGTCCAAGCGCCTCGCGGGGAAACGATTGCGACTGTTTGCAATTTCTGAAGGCTTTTTTGTGACTTGGTAATCACTGATTCGATAAATACCTTTCGGCTACTTTTAGACACCAACTAAGAAACTGTATTTATTATGCTTAGGATCTAATGTTACCTTAACGTCCCAACCGCTGGTAGTAATTTCAACAGAATGTAGGTTGTGAGGTCATTTATACATTTTTTAATTTTGCTAGTTCTTATTTGATTCATTATCCTTTGGTATACTTCAGACAGGAGAAACCAAGTTCGTTCTTGCGTTGTATGGAGAATATATTCAGGCGTTTTAATGGAAGTTAGTGTTTTATGTACAAATAAGTTCTAAACTAAGTAACTATTTATACTTTCACCAAACTTGCATTTTGATACCAGGACTATTTTTATTCGCACCAATCGAAGTTCGTCCTTTCGTTAATCAATCGCGTGTTTTATTTTAAATTAATAATCCAATTGGTTTCTGTTGCAGCCATAAAAGTCTTAAGACTTCCACTTCTATGGCGATAAAATTTGAACTGTACTTTTGTACAACTGGCCCTGATATATACTGGCTATAGCGTTGTTTAGTTCAACATTCCTGACATCGCGCTTGTATTTCCTGGCAAAATAAAATAAATAATTTTGCACTCTATATAAGCAAATCGTTGCGTCGGTATTGACAAATACATGATATAAGAAAATCTTGTTTAAACTGTAGCGCTTGACACCTATTAAGAAACAAGGGCATTTTGATAAAGTTTTTTTTTTTTTTTTAGAATTTTAAACTCAAGTTCTGTCTAATTGTTCCTGTTCGTTTATGTTCAAATTTCTCCTCGAAATTCTTCCCGAATTAAACTTATCAGACGCAGTGATATCAACATTCGTTCTTTTGTACTAATTTTAGTACATGACAAAAGTCAGAGTTGCTACGGCAGGGTCCTTATATACGCATCATCATCATGAGTTCATTCGCCTCAGTCTGTGACATTATCGGTTTCGTGCAACATTCAAATGAAGATTAATGTTGTAAATGTCAGACATACAAAATAAATGTAGGTCATTCGATCGAGGAAACTGATTTGTTTTGTCGGAATGTTTTCATGTCCATTAACTGGTGCACATTATAGGAGTTGTTCTGAGCACGTGTTGCTATCTTCCATATAGTTGCTGTTGTATTTTGGTGTAGACGAATACGGACACCGGGGCACGTTACCAATGTACAGTCATGGAGGTTTTTCTAATGACTAGCCCTTTTGTGCTAGCTTTTATACAAATTGTCCCGTGACAGTTAACCTGAACAATAGCTAGCGCAATGCTTTCGCCATTGAAGGGGGCCTACGTGATAAAATTGGTAGCGTGCCCGGATTGGTATTCAGTCGAAACTGATACTGTGACAATTTTGACTTTGCCGCTGTACTTTAACGGAATTCAGAAATTCTGATACCAACTTCGGGCGACCCTTTCATGGCTACTGGCGGGGTCAATCCGGTCATGACCTGCGACTGATATATACCAATCAAAACAGCCGACAGGCAACACAGATCTGTTTATTTGCATTTCATTTTCGTATGTTAATACAAATATTTTAAAGAACGAAACGACTGGTACAACTCTTTCAAAACCATACCTAGGTAACTTTGGATGTGTATCAATGCGCGCGTGGAATGACGTAATAAAAAACGGCCGCGGATGAAAACAGAATTGAAAACCCTGACGCCAACAGTTACTGTGGCAACGTCATCCCGACTAACAACGACGATGATAGAATCGGTGGTCTACGTGCCTTAAAGGACCATGGCCCATTTTGCTTAAGATGCCAAAGCAGAATTTGTCGCGGAGCAAATATCGGTGAATCTGTCGATAGCTTCTAACGTTTTTACTTAGACGCTCTGTGAACTAAACAAGCCCCACTTCACTCACAGCAATCAGACTGCTCAGTTACAGTTATTCGCCATGCGCCGTTGAAAAGTGACATCACGTGGGGTACAAGAGCGCCCTCAATAGTATCAGGTTGCCACTGCATAGATTGTCTTCTCGTGCATGCAAGATCAAAGGGTTTATTTTATATCCGGTGTCATCATCACCTTTGAAAACTGTTTGCAAAACGGTCAGACAGGATTGTCTGTTAATCAAAGGGACTTGATACATCTGTGACCGAGTCAACTTTCCCGCAACGGCCTCGTTTATAGCAGAAACACAATTCGTTGGCAATTTTGAAACTGTCACGGGCGCTCCCGAGCGGCTCAAAAAATATCAAACGACGGTCTTGATGCACTGTCACAGCTGACTCTCGAGATTCAACGTCGCAATTCGCAAAACGTTAAAAATACAAACAAAATTTAAGTAACAGAGCTTGTAATAGAGACTATGATCCTTTGAACGTCGTTAAATCGGTGGCAGAACAATCTTTGTGGAAATCGTGCATTTTGAATATTGAGTCTTCGAATCATTAACGAGTCAACTTTGATATGAAATAAAACAGAACATTTTAATACAAGTACCAACATAGTCGAACTCTATGCTACTAGTAATGATTGTTTATGAGTGCAGTGGAAACAGGGCAAAGGGCATAGTGGAGAAAAATGAAAAAAAAACCGAATGGGGATAATGTTTTCCCTGATTTTCGGACACTGATATTGTTATCTTTGATAATGTGTACTATATACATATTTCGAAGAAATAGTATAAAAAAAAATTGGAATAAAGTTTTCTTAAAAAAAACCAAATAAACAATTGGCTTCTTTCATTTTCACAAATAGGAGGCCTACACAACTTAAAGCTTTAAAGGCCTTTTAAAAGTGTTTTACTTTCTTGACATGTCCGTCGATAAATACGAATTTTAAACAGCCATAGCTTGTCAACGGAATGTCTGATTGCAGTGCAACACACAGTTTTTAAGGAGAATTTTATTCTCTTTCCTAATACCAACAATGATCCCTCAATTCGACTTAATGCCCAGTTCTGTCTCATTTTGCCAGAACGCCTCACATTTATTATGTCAAACTTTTTGTTACTCTTCAATTGTGAAAACACCTGGGTTTTTTTTTGCTCTGTATATTTAAGGTACGATATATCAATCTGAATGAAGAATATTTATTATTAGTAAAAAAGAACTCAATCACTTCAACTGCAAAAGCGTCTGCAGTGAAAACTGGGCCGATTACAATCCAACATGTACAATTGCCCACGTATTTGCCTCGCCAAACAAGCCCATTATTCTCTTATCGCGAGGCGGAGATGTTTTACCGCCATAAAGTCCCGATCCCGTTTCCCCATCTCAGGGCCTTGCCGATCTGTCGGGCAAGGAAACGGGCCAGGGTCGCCCGGATCTGACCCTCCGGGGGTCGCCCCTCGTATAGCATGGCTGGCTGGCAGAGCTTCTGCAAGCTCCGGGTACACCGACCCACGAGCGAGTGCGAGCAAGACGACTGGTGGGCCGGTCCCACCTCCGAGCGTCTGGTATTGCACCATCACCGGTATACGGTGTAACCCAGAAATAAAGTGGGTGGGCCTCGGTCGGTTTTGAGGCCCCACGTCCACGCGCCAGGTTTGTTTTTGACTTCCGTCTTGCATGCCGTTGGTGACACCAATGTCTGGTATGGGCGTGGCTATGCGTTGATGGCACACCACTGCCATCTCACAGAACACGTAAAGAATGGCGCATAAGAAAAGGTGAACCCCCTGAAGTTTTCATAAAACCAGAACACGCTAATCTTGATCTCATAGAGTGCACGTGGAAAAATCTTTCAGCTCTTAGTAGATGTTTGAAGACTTGCTCCTATAGCGATACATTATCATCAGTGACTCCTCCGGATCTCTTTAGAAGAAAACAAAGAGAGAGATTGGACCACCAACTTGTACCTACAAAGTGGTGACGTGGAATTCCATTGCCAGTGATAGCATATCGGGAAACACAAAGCATCTTGGTTAACCAGTCTGGATAAATAATACATACTTCGCTATTTTTCGCTTTGGGATTTTCCAGACGAGCTATTGTTCGCGCAAAAAACGAGGTTATCTTGGCGGGGATTGATGCTTGCATGACGTCAGTATTGGACTCCGCGAGTTTCTCTATAAATACAGGTATGTTCCTCCTAACAGGCCCACTTCCCCTCCTGCGACCAACCCTTTCAGACTGAAGCAAAGTATAGCCATCCGCCTGCCCGATGTCTGTGCAAACTAATCTATGATTGCTGAATAAAAATTGAGAAGTAGAAATCTTAGAGTAAAATTTGTGAAGCGATATCGGCAATATCGCTTGCAGGGCAGCCAACGTTATTAGCAAGCGAACTTTGGAGGAAGTCATCTTTGAGAAGGTATTATAAGTGTTAAAAACTAACAGATAACCACTAATAATAACCATGATGATAAACAGTTGTAAGTATTATTTTGTTTGCATAATGAAATTAACTGTGTCAACGGTAATTGACTAAGGCCAGTCCGAATCTATTGGTAGAGCCACCGGTACGGGGTTTTGATGTCGTGGGTTCGAGTCCCGTCTCTGTCAATTTTTTTGGGCCCAGATTTATTCACTGGAGGCTTGGAAATTTGCTGACAATGTTGGTCGTTTCCTAGCTCGTCTAAAGAGTTAATTTGCTCCCCAACTGTTTTACAAACTGGCTCATGCATATTTGCCGTCTGTCATTATGCTTTTATCACTGTTTCTAAAGTCGTAAACTAAATGCTACTCCACCGCAAAAACAGTCGAGTCAAATCCGTGAGAAACGATTTCCCTTGGAATTGTGATCAAAACATTGGTAACGAGTATTTTGCGATCTCAGTCAATATATATTTTTCTTCTTCTAGTTTCAGTGAAAAAAAGTTTGTGCCAGACTTTATCGTTTCGCCTTGGGTCCTGATGCCCACATCAAGAAATCGAATCCAGCAGTACAAGTCATGTTTTTAATGTTTCGCCGTGGATCCGATTCCAATAATATGACCTCCACAGAAAAACGACCCTTGCTGGTTAGTCGCGATGGCAACTTCACTCAAAACAGAACCAAAAAACCGACCGAGAAATATCAAAAATTAGGCTACCCAAAATAATTGGAACTAAATAGTGGGTGGAACTCGTCAAACGATCTGATGACTTTATGCACTCAGTGCGAGACGCCGAATAAGTAGACCGAGACGCATTCTTAAAAACCTTCCATTTATTTTTTAGAGTTGCCAAGTCCTTCTTCAAAGATGGAAATTCACAATTTGTGTGGCCTGACAAGAAAAGTTGACAATGTTGTTGGTGCCTCAACAATAGGTGGCGCGCTTCTCTTTACCGAGGCTGGGTAATCGTTGCTTTTAATCCCTTGTGAACAATAATTGAAAACAACAACCGAGTCTGTCTTGAACAAAGTGAGGCGCTGGTATTGGGTGTCATGAATCTCATTTTATCTTCCAAATAAATAAATGGAGCAAATTGGTGATTGCTGCGCCGGCAATGAGACCATGTCGAGTTTTTCTGATAAGGAATTGGTGTTCCAGAAATCCACAGGTTGACGGTACATTAGCGCATAATTGTTTATAGCCTGATCTTCATCTGACTGAGACTGGGTGACTGCTGGGGATAAAAATACTGTGCTTGCGTGGGGCAACGCGGCGGTACCCCGTCTCCATAGGAACGTCAGTGAACCTCAAGATAAAGGGGAAGACAATGACCGTTGAAAAATGCAGTGTTTCTTTTTGGGGGAGGGTGGGAGGGAGGGTGGAGGTGCGTAATGTCTGATCATGGGTTCGGATCGCTCTAGTTTACGAAAGTGGAACATTTTCCTATTGTCTGCGAGTCTCACCGATAACTTGTTTTCCCCTCTTTTGTGGCACCTGAATATCAGCTATTCTTGTAATTAGGCTGAGGTATTCGATAGGGTCTACATATTTTCTTTTGTCTGGAGAATGTCTGCTTGGTACAATTGTCTGAAGAGACGATAAAGGAATTTATGAAACCATGTTCTGATTAGATAGTTTCTTTTCGCAGTCTAGGAGGGGACGGTTGCACTTTTACTCGTCCAGACGCTGACCTGAGAATGAACTCTAAGCTCGGGGTTTTTCTTAACGTCTTTTTCTTAATCACATGATTATGGCTTTGTGATAAGGCTCAAACCCTTTTGCAGGATGCAGACAGCTTTAATAACTGTTTCAGGGCACGGTGTAGGCTCCACATTGTTCAAAAGTGTCCTGAGAAAAAAATTCCTCCAACCAGTGACCTAATTGAAACGTTCTTATGTTTGCTCAAAAGAACGCGTTGTTTTTAATACAGATCCCTTTGACAACCAGAATTAGCTCGTATGCCCACCGCATCGTCTGAAGACGCTAACATCTACGCAAGAATCCTACTCCGGCTGCGAAATGGATGTACATGTACTGTACATACCAACAAGTGGCATGCCATTCTATAGGTATCAGACCTGAATGTAAATCAAACTTTACTTTTTAAGCTCTGGCAGAAGCTTCTACATGTCACTTGGCGGTCGGTTAGTTGGTCGGTCGGTCGATCTGTCTGTCTGTCTATTTTTATGAAAAACTTAGGGGGCTTTTTTGGTCAATTTTCAGCGCGTGATTTTCGCGTAGGGCGGCGGCCCGATTTTGTACGCACAATTGTTTCATGCAAGACTTTCATGAAAGGCGGCCAGAGCTTATTGAGCACTCGCATTTGTTTGAATTTGGATTCCAGGCTCATTTTAATATCTCTATTGGGAGCCAATTCGGGCGTTGCGCCTCAACTTTACAAAGGGACGCGGGCGCAAGTTGCAGCTTTGCGTCACAGTGTGACGACTACTTATGTGATCTCACGAGACGTCGGGGAAACTTGACCATTTTCCGTGTATCCCGTACAAGTGCTTAGCACGAGTGTGTGCCCTCACATATTCGAATACTGTCTGCTCTTCAATAACTTATTACTTTGGTTGGTTATCCATGGTGTGAGATAGTGACTTTATCGTTTCGCTGTCTGCGATAACACTTGTCAATTTGCATGATAATGTAGCCTCTATAGATAGACTCGATTCAAGTCTGACACACCTTCATTAATTTTCGTTACATACTTCTCCGCCACCAATCTTTTTCTTGCGAAGTAAGACAGCACAATCTGCACTGACAGCGTCGACAAAGTATTGGACTGGTATCAAGTCTAAATGGGGAATGAAACCCCACCAAAATCACTTATGACTATGATTTATCAAATTATTTTTCCGAGTCGATGTGGCTTCCAGGGATCTTGTCACCGAAACATAATTTTGTGGATATTATCCCCAGGGTCCCCGCGGTCTCTGTACGGCCAGCTGTACCGCACCTGACCACCCAGGGTATATGGGGCATTTGTTGCAGGCTTGGCACAGGTGCAACATGACAAAACTTCCTCATGCACCTGCAGCACTGTTGCTAACCGGGCGGCTGATACGAGAAACACCTGTGAATGTTCATGTGTTGTGATCTATCAGTATAATATGGATGCTCGGCTTGTTTATTTCCTGAAGGGAAGATTTCAAGTGAAAAGTGGATCCAAATCTGGAAATCAAACTGCGTACTCAAGTAAATAATGATCCTCTCTTATATCCGTTCACCGTTGTATTTTTACCTCTGCCAAGGAGGTTATGTTTTCGTCGGACAGTAGATTTTCTTTTTACACAGCAATTTCAAAATCTTACACTACTGTCAAAATGCTGAATTCTGAGAACTTACTAACAAATATATCATAGTTATGACGCACCCCAAATTCGACATTGCTCCATTAAAAAAAAACTCTTTCCATATAAATCTAAAGAGCAAAACGTGCAATTAGTCTAGCATGAATAGGGGCACTTTTTGTATAAAAAGACCTGCCTCTCACGAAGGCTGTCTACGGGTACGCGATGATAACGATAGCAATTATTGTAAAATTCCTCCCAAATTGTATTCCTCCGCCATGCGAAGCCTCGGATCGCATTAACAGGTATGATTAATTTTGACATTTGTTTTTGGTCTTGTTTTTAATTGACTCCGGTAGATTTAGCCGACAAGATGAACCAATTCCGACTGATAGTACTACTGGAAGTGATGGCGCACACTGTGTTCCCTACCCAGGCATCCCCCATCCGAGTATGCGGCAACGAATTGCTGGACGCCCTCATGTCCGTCTGCGGCGACCGGGGGCTGTACTCGCCACCAGAGGGTGAGTAGTCGTTGCATATAGGCACGCGCACAGAGGGCGCTGTTTTAAGAGCGCTTTCGGTAGGTTCTTTATGTCTATGGGTATACACAGAGTTGTCACGGAGTCTATCACGATGAGATTTTAAATCACAAGTAAGGTTAAAAGGAGATGAACAATGACATATTTTAATGCCTTTAATCAAATTTCAGATGGTGAGTCCTTGTAGCACGGCAGATAGGTGATGGGATTGTGCCTTTGATGATACAAGTATGGAATTTGGCACACAGTAAGAGTATGGTATGAGAAAGATATTTGGCTAGAGGGTCATCGCAGATTTTTCCTTTGAAATAATTTAGATAGAATAACAAGGAATGGCAGCCATTTAGAACATTTTGAAAACTGCTTGTTATTCTAGCCATATTTTTTTTTTCAAAAGACAAATCTGCGTTGGCCCTGTAGCCAAATATCTTTATTTAGACAAACTCTGACTGTGTGCTAAATGCCATGCTTGTATCATCAAAGGCACAATTCCCCAAATATTTACCCTATACGCCCCACTATAGATCTAAAGCGTACCTCATAGGCCTAATCGGCGTTTCGTGATTGGGCTAAAGGTGCTGACTGAACGATAGCCAGTATCAGTTATGTCGATACCAGAAATATTTAGAAAAAGGATTGCATTATGGTAGTTTCATGCATCGTAGAAGCTTATCTTAGAGTTAACCTACCCCCGGCGATGTCACTTCAGAAAGAATGATTTAAAGTCGATAGGTATATAGTCTCAAGAAATAACTGCAGAAAACCGTGCCAAAAGGTTGTGCGTTCTGTGTCACGTTCAGTGCTTTGAATATAAAAAAGTTTAAACATTGATCTTGTGTTTAAGTAGAACATTTTTCAAGTATTGTATTGATGAGTTCCATGAGTTTCCTGTTGCGCAGTGTTCACTTTTATGAATGGAAAAATGTTGCATTGCCGAGAAATATTACTCTTGTAGGTAATTTTCGACGGCAAAAAAAAGACCGTCATCCTGTCATCAAGAAATATGGCATCGACCACCAAGGAAACAATAATTGTTTCGTTTCTTTCAACACTGCTGGCGGAACTTTTCTTATTTTGATCTCCGGTGACTCGCCTGGGACCGGGGAAAGTGCACCGGTGCGCGCACCGTGCCCGCGCCGGTCGGTCCGTGGGTCCTCCGGCGCATTTTCGCAGACAGCATGTTTGGAATAGCTTTCTCTTCGTTGCGATGTTGTTATATCCTTTCCCTCACATTTCGAGTGGAAGCAAATATGAATACTGCACACCAGCAGGGCTGTAGCGAACAGGGTGGGGGTGTTGTCGACCCCCAAAACTTGTAACCCCACTCAGCATTTAGAGTCTGTGTCGGCAACAAAATAATGAACCATCAAATCAAAATACAGAATATTACAAACGATTATGATCAAGGAAATAAATGCCTTTTTATGCTAGACCACGCAAGTATGGTGTTTTATTCCGGATAAATCAGCTACGAATTAAGACAAAATTGAATAGATCTTCAACTTATACAGGTGCTTTGCGAGATTTACATTGTTTATTTAATATCGAAAATATGCAGCTAGTGGTTCTTTGTTGTGTCTTTCAGCACTCAGATTATACAAAGGAGAGGCCAAAAAAGGGATTAAAATGTATCGATGGGTGAAAGGTTGAATTGAATAGCCCCCTCCCCCCTCCCCACACGTTTTGACCGGGGAGATGGCCATACGATCATCCCAGCTTTTGCCCTCAACAAAAGCACGACCAATGCCGTTAATGCATCCTCCTTTCGATATGACCACACAGAGGTACAAGACGTTATATAAATTATTGCATTAGACCAACTAGCTAGAGCAACGGAGCGAATATTTTAGTACACACAACTAATTTATGAACGCTTAAAGTAGGCGGTTCGCACTTAGTTCAAATTAAGTTCAAATTGTGAACAGCGCCATCGAGTGTCAAATGCTGTCCAGGTCCGATTTACTTCTCTGGAATTGTTATTGTGAACAGCGCCATCCAGTGTCAAAATGCTGTCCAGGTCCGATTTTACATTTCTCGAATTTCTAGATTTAATAATGCACATACGCCCATGTTTATTTTCCGCAGGGTTTCTTTCTTCCTGACTCGAAAGTCAGCCGCCTGTCCCGTCTAAATTAGCTATCCAACTGTCTTATTGTTATTGCAGGTTACTCACGACGCACCCCAGCTACTCAGAGCGGTATCGCGACGCGATGCTGCATCTCACACTGCGACACCGCCTTACTCGAAACCTACTGCAACAAGCCGGCCACGCCCCAGTCGCAGACGGCAGCGGCGCCCCAGAGAATCACGTCTACGTCGGACGACCGGAGAGCCAACGAGATCGTCGTGGACCCCCCATCAGGCCACACGGGGGACACCGCACCACGGGGAGAGAGCGCGAAGGCGCCGGGGCCCAGCGGCGCGGCGAACGCGACCAAAACGCCAGTCGCAGAGGTCGACGAGGGAATGAGTGTGGACGAAGAGGAGGCAGCAGGCGAGAGCAACACGTCCGAGAGAGGGGTAAGCCTCGGCGAAGACGAAGACCAGGAGGAACAGGCTCAAAGGGACATTCCCACCAGCAGGCCCCACAAAACCCACTCCAAGGAGCGCAGTAAGAACAGGACTAAGGGTGAGAAAAAGAGGCGGAAGACCGGCCGCAGGAGGGGTATCAGTGAGAGGCGAACGCTGAGCATTGAGAGGAAGAAGGACGATGCGACTCGCCGGAGGAGGAAAGAGCAGCGCCTCCTGAGGAAGCAGCAGCAGTCCAACTCCAGTAAGAGGAGGACCAAGCTGGAGAAGAAGGGCAGTGAAGTCACTACGCCCGTTGCAATCGAGACAGCAGAACACCCCTTTAAGGTGAGTTGCCTGAAGATGAATATTATGAAACCTGCACATGTCGACTTCCAACGAGACAGTAGGTTTCGGTGCACCTGTCATTGGTTGACAATGTCGTGTCACTCTATACTGAGCGTGTTTAAGACGCATACTGAACTTGTTACCTCCACCAAGAAGGTTTATGTCTTCATCGGCGTTGGTTTGTTTGTTGGTTGGTTGGTTTGTCTGTTAACAAAATAAGTCAACACGTATAAGACGGATTTGCATGAAATGTTTTGTAGGGGTGGTCCTTGGTACAAGTACAAATTGATTAGATTTTGGAAGTGATCCAGATCTGGGGGTGGATCCAGGATTTTTTTTAAGGATTCTTCACCATTTATGGGATTATTTCTTTTGGGTTTACTGGGCGGGGAATTGTTTAGCCTTGACGGAGGTTTGCGCTCTCTGAGTGCTTTCTAGTTTCAAATGTTATACTTGTTAATATGGTCACCTTGCATAGGGCCAAAAAATAGCACTAGTTCCAGTGCTATACGCAATAGTAGTCGAGACGTCAAATTGTCATTTTCTTTTCAAACTACAGAATGGTGGGTACAACAGCACATCTGGCGACCTTTCGCCGGTAAACGTCACAGATCCAGATTCGCCGCCGTCGTCCGACACGAAGAAAGACGGCTTTTTCACCACAATCACCGCAGTGCTCAGAGACGTGATTGGCTTTCAGCAGGCAGACGACGGGAACCGCTGATGACGTCACAGGGTCAAAGGCCAAAAATCCCCCCCAACTATGGACTCCTTTATTCGAAGGACGAGCGTTTTCGTCGCTAACCAAGACAGAAAAACGGACCCAACACCGCGGACCCGAGTTTTATTCATGACTTGGCCAGCAACGAAAAAAATCGTGTCAGACTTACGAAGTCAAAAGTGTATCATGTACTAGGATGTGATTCAAAGACCTTGGCACTAGCTCAGGCCAGACAGATGTTAGGATGGGATGACTGTCTCGATTAATCCTGAGTTTAGTTTCCCGAACCTAGAAACACTGTGACCCCGATCGCCATCTTTGACGAAAGACTAAGCCAAAATGGCGCGTGGGCTTTTAAAGCACATGAGGGTGCCCCAGCAGCGAATAAAGTCGACAGGACTTCAAAGCGACAATTCTTAAAACTTCCCGCCTGTGACGTCGAAAACGTTATATTTAAGTATTTCTGTTTCACTCTGTCGATCTAGTCGACACTCATTCAGAATATTCAATATACTTTTGCCGTATTTATAAGTAATTTATTTATGCTAGATGTATAACAGGGTAACCTTGATCATAATTTCGTTGTAATTAATTCAAGTTAAACTCTTATGCCGATAAACTGCACACGTGTCAGTTTGCGAAGCATCCAATTAAAAGGATAATATTTTTGTCTTTTCTTATAGAAATGATCATTTTCTCGTTTCGAAACGGAACTTTTCAAACGATTTTGACTGAGATTCGCCCGTGTGAATCTCTGTTTAATGATGTTGCCTTGCTCGTGTTTTAAGCAAATACTTATAAAAGTTATTATTATTTTGCTGAACAAACTGCACTGAAGTACACTAAAAGGCACCAACTCCTAACCGATGTAGACTCTGCATCAATTAATTGTTTCAAAAGTATTTGGTTGTCCTTTTGTTTAGTTTGTTTGTTTGTTTGTTTGAAACAAATGGTTCAACAATATTTTGTCCGATAACAAGGCGAGGGATAGGAGTATAAGTAAGTTGAGAATTGACAAGTAGTTACAGTCACGCCACTTTACCCTGTTTTGTTAAACCTATCCGCCATCATTTTTTTAGTGATCTTTTTTTCGGTCTAAATAATTTTGAGAAAGGCACAAGGGGTGACTTTTTGTCCAAACAGGGTTGGACACAATGAGCCCAGGACTAAACACTTTCTTCACGAAGTGTGAAAGGGTATGAGTTTGGGCAGACTTATTCTGTTACTTCTATGATGAAGGTGTGCATTAATTCAGTTACGTACTTGAGGTTTTTTTGGGGGGGGGGGGGGGGGGGGGGGGGAATGGGGGGGGGGGGGGAATGGGGGTGGGGCGGGGTGGGGGAGGGGTTTTTCCTGCAGTTGGTTCTATTGTTTCAATTCAAATAACAATCTAAGAAGAATAGAAACTAAATATATATATATATATCACCGCAAACATTTGTTGTGTAAGTCGATGGTGTATGTTGCTCTGTTATTAAAGGACCCAATACAATGTATTTATTTAAATTAATGCAATCCTTGAAAATGTACCTCTGTGTCCCATTTAACCTTATTTTCAAGTTTCGTTTTGCCATTTTAAGGGTATATTTTGGTGCCTTTTTGTTTATGAGTCCCTATTCACGAGCAAAAATGTGATGGCATTTCAGGCAGCATCTTCAATGTTACAGCTATTTCCGCACCAAAAGTTGCCAGAACTTTATTTTGTTGTAAATTTTCTTTTCTTTGGTGATTCTTTGTTGTCAGTATATGGCAGTTGGCAAATTAAAACTTTTTCTCACAAAAGTTTTCAGTGAACAAACTTTTACGTTCACAATTCGGACTGAAAACTCCTAAACGGAACAGCTTCCTAAAATGACATCACAGCAACAGCGCCCTCAGTTGTCTCGGAAAAAAGTTTAAAGAAGTGCACTTTCCAATAAAATTAATCAAAAAGGAATTTCAAATAGTTTTCATGTATTCAACAGGAGTAGAAAGTTGCAAAAATATGTTCCTAAGAAAAATTCATCTCATTTACCCTTTAACTTGGCCCTCAGGCCGCTTGCACGTTCGGGTCAGTGGAATAGAAGGAATGCTTCGTAAAGACAATGAGCAAATTGTCTTCACATATGTTTTCAATGAACAAACTTTTTGCGTTCACAGTTTGAAAAGAAACCCCTAAACTGAACAATGTCTTCCTTAAATGACATCCCAGCATAGAACTTAATTATATTTAGGTATAATTTAATTATAATTAGGTAAAAGACGACGCGGAAAATAATTAAGTGTTATCTAATATTTGAATAAATTATCAAAGCACAAAGTGCTTTCACCTACAAAAACATGCATACCACATAATGCTTCCACCCATCACAAAGATGATACCCCTACCCTTTTTTTCAAGAACTGATGGTGAGCGTAAATAACGAAAGGTGTCTCCGTAGATCATAAGGATGTGTCAGTTACAGTTCACAAAAATAAAGTTTTGATGACTGAGCTATAGTGAGGCAGATTGGGGAAATATTTGGGGGAAATTGTTCCTTTGATTATACAAGCATGGAATTTCGCACACAGTCAGAGCATGTCATGAAAAAGATATTTGGCTATAGGGCCATCGCAGGTTTGTCCTTTGAAAAAATGTAGGGAGAATAACAAGCAAATTTCACAATTTTGAAAATGGCCGCCATTGCGTGTTATTCTACCTTTATTTTATTCAAAGGACAAATCTGCGATGGCCCAATAGCCAAATATCTTTCTCATGACATACTCTGACTGAGTGCCAAATGCCATGCGTCATGATGCTTGTATCATTAGCTCCACGATTAAAGGCATAATCCCAGCACCTATCTGCCGCCAAACGTCGGCTTTGTCTGCAGTTCATATGGGAAGATTTTAGGCCCCAGGAGCCTTATTCATGGGTCAGTGTTTTGCTTCAGTTTGAACACCAAATCCAATAAATTGCTGCTGAATTTGGAATATTCCCTAATTTTGATGTAGACTTTAAAGGCTTCGAAAATGATTTAAAAACCCGCGATGAAGCCGATGCTGGAAACGAAACCGAAACTTGGAAAACCCCATAAGTAATTAAGTGTTGTTCTCGACTTCGATCCCATTGCCTCTTTTCCTATGATGCATAGGCTTATAAATACCACTCTCCTACCATACCATTGGAAATTACATGACCTTACGCTCAAAGTAAACATGCACTGTTTCATTTTGTGATGAACCCCTTTTCCTAAAGAATTCGTCATTTTTTGGCGTTGAATATAGTTTTGTGAAAATGTTTCTTGTGATTTGTAATAAAATGATAACTGAAAAAAAGTATTTGCCTTTTTGCTATTGATTGTGAAGTCTTAGTTTGGCCTCCTGAGAAAACTTGTTCCTCAAAATCAAATTTTTTCATTTTCAAGCATCAGTTTTGAAATAAGGGAAATGAGACCATGATAGAGGGCGTTTTGCAAATAAAAGCAGCTACCTCGCTCACTGAGTTGCACCTGACTGAAGCACCTGCTACTTAAAAATAATCTGAAAAGGTTTGTACGATCGTGGAACCCATGCATCAGCGGATAACTAGACTTTGACACGAGTGGTTTTATTTTTTTCAGAGCCGTTCCTTTTTTCAAACTTGATAAACATGTTTAGGCCAAAAAAAGTCTCCGGTTACTGGTATGCTCGCGCGTCGCCGTAGCCATACGCGTCGGCAAAATGAAAACGTTTTTTTTTTCAATGTAAGATGATGTCTCAAAACCGCCAAACTCACTGGTTTGACTGGAATCCTGCTGCTGCACAATTTTAACGTGTTTTTAGATGGGGTTACGATCTAGTATAAGCTTTATGTGGCCTCTATGGACTCCCATACATTTTGCAATAAATTTAGTCTGGCACCATTTGCAGTCATCAGCCAGAATTTGAAGAAAAACACTGTAAGTAAGATTTGAGGCTTTGCATGGTGGAGATACTAAATAATGAAATGTTTACGGAAACACCATGTGCGAATAATTTCTCAACTAAGAGAATGGTTCTGAAAAGAACCAGAGGTATAAACTCGACGTTCCGGTCAGTTGAGAAATTATTCGCACATGGTGTTTCCGCAAACATTTCATTATTTAAAAACACTGTAGAAAAAAAAGAAAGAAAAAAAAAGGAAAAATAGCCACGTCGCCGCACCACTTTTGGGGCAAGCTCCAAACCAAAACCGGAGACTTTTGTTTGGCCTTAAGGCCCGTTTTCTTGTCAAGTAGAAAATTGTCATCAGTATGCAGTGATACTTTTACACCCACCCTAGTTGAACGTTAATGACCATGGGGCAGTGGCCTATCCAGGGGGGGGGGGGGGGGGGGGAGGGGGGAGGGGGGGAGGGGGGGAGGGGGGAGGGGGGAGGGGGGGGGGGGGGGAGGGGGAAATCAAGTACAATACGCACACGTCGCGGTATGTCCCGTCCATATCCAGGGGCTAAATAAGCGCCTCATAGTCGCATCGTCATGTCACACGCGCTATAGCCGAGCGCATAATTTTGTACGTGTAGGAAACGGCTAGAGTAAAGACTACATCGTGCATGTTGACAAAAATCTACCTGAAGTCTATGCGTTCTAATGCATCGGTTTAACTTAAGTCTGCAAAGTGCAGTGCATGCCAAGCACAGTTTCATAACAGCAGCACGGTAAGTACTACATTTTGTCCATTGTCAGATTGTACATGTATGTACTGAGTATAATTAATTTTCATTTTTATAGCTGGGTCATTCTGCAGTAAGTGTCTACTTTGGGCCTTTTGATAATTTAGAAAATTGTTTTTTTTTCAAATGTTGAATTTCTTTTTATTCATGTTCATGGACAAAAATGATGGACATGATGGATGCCTTGAGCATGTTGAGTAACTCCAGCTCTAATGTGATTAGACTGCTGGAGTTACTCAAGCGAGGAAAATGGACCGTTGTTGTAATGCACTGGGGATATACAGTCCAGGATGTCGGGACTCGGTCTTAAATACGATCTAGTTCTTGTAACGTAGTTGGGCCTCATGCATGTTATGGCGTTGACGTTGTAAACAACGCCACGGGCCGTCTTTGCATAAATACACTCGAAATCATTTTAATTTTATCCCCGACATATAACCATGTATAATTTGGCCCTAGCGCCTAGGTTAATCACTTACTTGTTAGGCTTCCTGTGAATTTACGCAAGTGTTGGATCTGTCATTGCCTAGAAATTTGATGAAAAATACGACACGACGAACGTGTTCAAAATGATCAGAAAATCAAAGACAGGCATGATACTCTGGTACCCTAAGTTCCGAATGCTCAAAACGGTAGTCCCCTAGTGGGTACCCGACTACCGTCTTACATGGCAGGATGACTGTAATGTTACAATTCTGCTAAATCCACTTTAAAAATCTGCCAAATCACCCAGTACCGGGGTATATTGCTGTTCCACTGTGCAAGGGTTTGTTTCAGGGATCTTTCAAAAAATGAAGCTTTTCAAACCAAATGTGCTATTCTCTAATCCTTTTTTTTTCCTTCAGAAACACCAATCTACTGGTACATAATTCTGCTGAAAAAATATTCTGCTGAATTTTCTGTGCAACTCATTTTTGTATGCAAATATTCTGTCAAATTTAGCCGAAATTCGGCTAGAACGGCCACTCATCAATCCCAGTAACCGCAGATCACAATAAAGTATTTTTTTTTTTACTGTAGATCGAAGCATGGCTATATATAGCCACGTTCACGGGTCTAACTGTGACGGAGCTGACGAAATTAAAAATCAAACTCGTAGAGCGCCATCTACAGTTTGTTTGAAGCATGAATACCGGTACCACTGTCACATGTGCTTGGAAGTTCACACAATTCTGATCATACTCATGAATACTTTTTTAGAATAAAAATATAAATAAGGCATGTTCTAAAGCATTCAGAGATGACGCCGAAGAAAGGTACACGCCCGTAATTTAGCTAAAATTCTGGTTTTTGTGGGGTTTTTATTCCGACAAAACGATAAAATTTAGGACTTAATTTGTGTACAATGGTATAGTTTGAAGGATTGAATAGATTTAAGTAATATAGTAATAAGCACCTATCGTTTAAGAGTATTTACATGAAGAAAAGTCCCTTCAACAAATAATTACATGTAGGCCCTGTAATGATTGGAATTTTTACATAGTACGTTCGGAACATGGGTCAACATCAAACATCAGAAAATAAAGAACAATATCAACTTTATTCTCTAGCTTTTTATGAAAATTTAAAACATTAAAACACAAATCCACAAAAAACACAGCATAACTTTACGAATTTTCCGTCTAAATGGCGGCAAAGTATTGGGACATGAAAGTAGACACTTCACGAAGAATGACCCAGCTATCAAAACCCACAATTCGCCCCATCCCTAGCCCCCAAAATTATAGTTGAAGGGCCATAAAACTTTAAAGTAATGAAGTAATGACCTTTGTGATCTGAACAATTTCACTGTTCAGATTATTTAAGTTCACAACTCAAGATATGCATAGAGAACTAGAGTAGAGAATCCATCATTGTCATGATTGTGTATTCATCCCTTGTTCAAACTACATGTATTTGGACAGCAGGGCTTGTAAACTGTGGTGCTTATGCCCTGCCCAATTCATTGTGCATAAGTACCATGGAGCATAGAGCAAGGAAGCATCCAAGACTTGGACTACCCTCAAAAATTGTGCCAGTTTGGTAATTCTAACGTAGCGTTTTCAAGACGTAAACATTTGCTCGATTTTTACTTTGCAAGGTAAGCACAGCAGATAAGCACATACAAGTCTGCATATTGATGTCTGTTGGGGGATGTTTTCACGGATTATGTTGTTAAACATGCAATCAAAAAGACGATGGAAACTTTCGTCTACAAAAAACAAACTTTGGAGCACACAAATCACCTAAAAACATGGCGCCGACGAGACTTTTAGAAGTTTTGTACTTCATAGTGTAAACTTTTCTTGAATTTTGTTAGAACACTAAGATTTTGTTTGCTACAAATGAAGAATATGGTAATTCTGAAAGAAAATCTGTAAAAAACTTGATGCGCACACACACAGTTGAAATACTGAAGTGGCTTAATGTACACTTTGCTATTTGCTTGTTCAAGATCTTCTGCAGCACTGTCTTCAACACTTCTGACGAAGGAATTTACTGGACAGAACTATCCTCCACCATGGCCGAAAATGGAGAGAAACGCTCCAGATCAAACAAGGTCATCCTAGTCACTGGGGGATCAGGATTGGTCGGCCAGGCCATCAAGAAGGTTGCCACGGAAACCAAGAGAGCCGACGAGGAGTTCGTATTTGTCTCCTCCAAAGATGCCAACTTGAAGTAAGTTTTCACTGAATCTGTTCAGAAGAAAGTATTTGATAAAAAAAAAGTGGTTCGACAGCATGTCGGTTGTTCGTCGGTAGTTTTGTAAAGCTTGACACTCAAATTGTGTAAAAAAAACCCAAATGCACATGTATTGTTTAAAGGTTTATTTATTTTTTTATAGATCAGAGGAAGAGACGAGAAAATTGTTTGAGAAACACCGTCCGACGCACGTCATTCACTTAGCAGCACTCGTTGGTGGTCTTTTCAGAAACCTGTCACATAACTTGGACTTTTTGGTGAGTGTATCCTATGTCTACACAGTTGCAAGTAAGGGGCCTTACTAGAGGGGGGGGGGGGGGGAATGTGTAGGGATGTAGGGGGTGTCACCCTCTCTCACCTTTTGTTGTTGTTGAAAAAATTGTACCACCTGTTGGCAAAAGTGTGTGACTGCCGGTTTTGGACAGAATCGCCATTGGTCAGATGGTACCCAGCCCCTTCCCCCTCCTCCAGCTTTTCAATTTAATGGCATGGGGTAACTGGGGGTAAAATTCCTGGCTACCCTCAAGCACAGAGTAGCCATTTCAGCAATTTTGTCGTCACATGCCACCATTCAAGTTGGAAAATTCTACTGGAGTCCCTTGTCAAATTTTGTAGCCATGGGCAAAGACAAGGGGGAACAAGACTCTTATGAACAAACTCATAATTTGTTTGGAACACTTAAACAGTCCCTTGACCAAACGGTTTAGGTATCTGTGCTACATGTAGGAATCTACATGTAATGCATAGTGGCGTATATGCTACATGACATATTGGACATTCTATAAATTTAGGATCCAAAGTGTGACATTTTTCCTGTCCCTGTTACCTTGGTACTTTGTAATTTGCCATTCAAGTATCATAAAGAATGACTTCAAAATATTTTTTATTTGTTGGGTAGGTAGTTTACTATACATAATCACTCTTAGAGGACAACTGCATTAATTAAGGAGTGCATCTCAATTATAAAAATCATAAATGTAAGATGCAACAGAGACAGAAAAAAACAAGTGGACCCCAAATTTATTGAATGAGCCATACATCCATAGGCAATCCACCGATCCTGAACAGAAAGATGAACTACTCTACCAAACTCTTGTCGTGATGTGTGATAACGGCCCGTACAGCTGGGAATACCATGAATACCTTGTAACAAAGATCCAGACAGCTTGCTTTGATATTGAAGTTGCAGGGCTCTTCTTTTGATCTGGTGTCGACTTTCTGTCAAGCGATCTAATTATGTTTTTGAGTATTCATGATCCTACATTTTTGGCCTTTATTATAGAATTCTAATAAAGTGATTTTAACTACATTTCTATGTAACGCCAAGCATGTTTAGCTCTGAAATGAACTATGAAATGTTGCTTTTGTTTTCGTTCTGTGACCACACTTATTACAACACAAAATGTCTTTCTGTATCTTTGCTGTGACTACCTCTGCAGAGAGACAACCTCCGAATCAACGACAACGTCCTCAACTGTGCCTTTGAGTTTGACGTGGAGAAGGTCGTGTCCTGTCTGTCGACCTGCATCTTTCCGGATAAGACGACCTACCCAATTGATGAGACTATGATCCACAACGGCCCACCCCACTCCTCCAACTTTGGCTACTCCTATGCCAAGAGGATGATCGATGTGATGAACAGGTTGGCCAAGAGTAATTTCTTAACAGCCCTGCCCAAATGAGAGTATATGATACGAATTATGAGAACCTAACCCTCACCCCATCAGGTTGTCTTGATTCTTAGCCAAGTGCAACAAAATCTAACTGCAACAAAATGCCAATCCACTATTGCACATTGATATGGTTCCGAACTGAAAAAAAAAACTTTTTGGAATTTCATAGTTCATATTAAAGCTAAAGATATGGTGCTCAGCGTTTATGTAGCTATCACTTATTAGAATTCAATAATAAAGGCCAAAAATGTAGGATTATGAATATTCAAAAATATACTTAGCTCGCCTGACAGAAATTTGACCCCAAATCGAGCGCAGAGCCCTGCAACTTTGATAGCCACCGCGCGCAGTGAAGCAATTAATTAGCCATCTGGATCTTTGTTACACAAGTATTCATGGTATTCCCAGCTGTAGGGGCCGTTATCTCGCATCTATTGACAAGACTTTGGCAAAGTTGCTCATCCTGGTGTGCAGGATCCGTGATGTATACATTTACAGTAACCCTGCTAAATGCAACAGATGCACTTCAAAGTGCAACAGTGGATACTGTGGGACTCAAAAGCTAAATGAGTAGCATTTGCATGCCAGATGTTATTCCAGTTTTCCTGCTTTGAATGAACAGCTGCGGCAGATGGCAACATGGGCGTCGCCAGGCTTTTTTCTCTAGAGGGGGCAAAGCACATTTCAGCCCCCCCTCCCAAATCCCTATATCCCAGAAACTGTGTATTATGTGCGTGTGTATAGTACATGTACAATGTACATAAAGATGTGATTTGTTAGGCGAATTTGTTGGATACCAAATGTGCTAAGATTTTCTCTCTCTCTTTATGACTGAACGAGGGGGGTACTTGTGCATGTCTATAGAAAGCTCAGAATTTCTGCTAATAAGCAACTCCCAAATAATACAGTACGCATGTTAGGGGAGAGATTTGTCAGGAATGTCCCAATTTCAGAATTTTTAACAAAATCCCGTTGTAATCCGCAATTTCTGAATTTGACCTACGTATGAAGGTTTAGCCTTGGTCGGGGGGGGGGGGGGGGGTACCATCTATCGATGGGGGTGCTGTTCAAAACCGACGATTTTGCACACAAACGGCCTATGAGGACGATACATGTGCGAAATTCAGTAAAAGGCATCCAAAAAGGCAGATTCCACAAAAAAGGGAACCACTTCTTTTAAAAAAGGGCACTTGTTACGAAAAAAAAAAGGCACTTCTTAAAACAAAAGGCCACTCTTTACAAATTATTGGCGGGTAACCCCGTTGAAAAAGGGCATTTGAATGGTAAAAGGCAGTCTTTACAAAATATTGGGGGGGGGGGGGGGGGAAATAACCCCCCTTACCCCCCCCCCCCCCCCCCCCCCCCCCTGCTGGCTACGCCTATGCATGTACACATAGAGCAAAAGAAGTGGGTATTTTAAGGGTGCTTTCAGGTGATTACATACAAGCATACATGTATGGTATAGATCCTACGTTACTCTAGGGCCTCTGGTAGCCCCAAACCCTCTGCTGATTATGTCATGGATTTTTGCATTCCCCCCCCCCCAAACAAATCTCACCCATGAGATGCAGACTAACAAATGACTGTTGTCTTTGATCTAGAGGTTACTATGTGCAGCACAATCGCAAGTTCACCTCGGTAGTCCCAACTAACGTCTTTGGTCCTTGGGATAACTTCAATCTTGAGGATGGACACGTCATACCCGGCCTGATCAACAAAGTTTACTGCGCAAAACGTAAGTTTCTTTACCTCATCAACCTTCCTACTGTTTGAACAGTCACAGACAGTCAAAAATTCCGTCCACTTCCCCGCCATGCCTTTTACACAGGCTAGTCACCAACAGTCAGATAATATTTTAAGCAAGCACTCTTACTAGTCAAATTCAGTCAACAGACAAAAACAGGCAACTGGTAGGCACAGCTGGCTTATCATTCACCTACAGTCAAAGCATAGCTGTATCAAGCTACATAACCAGTCACAGCCAGTCAATCCTGCTTTATGTTGGCCTAGAGCACTTAACTGTTGAAAACAGTCACTTGATTGATTTCGACTGCAGGAACAACTTGGCGCAGAATGTATGTTTGCTTAGGAGGGTTAAAAAAACAAGCAAACAACAATGTCAGCGTCAGTGTTCAAATATTTGAATATTTAATCAAAATCCAAGTTCCAATAATCGAATACTTAATTTATGTGAAGTAAGACAAGATAAGTTTGCGGTAGCACCATGTGAATAAATCTCTTTTGTGAGTATGTGTGGTTCTGAAAAGAACCGGAGGGACATAATTTATGTGAAACTGCACAGCACTTAACAAATGTCATTCGGTTACTGTATCTATGATGCACACGTTGTACCTTGACAGGAGACGGTACTCCGCTTAATATCTGGGGCACCGGCTCCCCGCGTCGACAGTTTATTTACTCGGAGGATCTGGCCCGCCTCTTTCTCTGGGTCGTCCGGGAGTATGAGGAGGTGGACCCCATCATCTTGTCAGTGGGTGAAGAAGATGAGATCTCCATACAGGAGGCAGCAGAACTCATCGTCGATGCTTTTGACTTCAAGGGGCCCATTATTGTATCCTTTGTCATTTCCCAGTAACATGTCCTTGGAACTTAAAAGGCGGATTTGTAAATACGTGAGATGGCGTCGAGAGCCCATCATAAATACGTGAGACAGCTAATCCATTCCTATTTGTCGAGAGCCCATAACATGGGTGGTCTTGAATCCCTGTTTAAACACTGGCCAGCTATGTCTAAGACCGGTGTTTAAAACTGCATTTGTGCAACATGCCCGCAGTACGCAACGCGTGCGCCATCTACAGCCACTGCTTCAGATATGGTCTCAATAATAAGGAAAATGATAAGTTGGGCAAACCATGCACACGCAAACGCACACCATAGAAGTAACCTGAACATGGAGTAATATTGATGAACAAACTTAAATGTCAGAATTTTGTCACTTTTTAAAGTAATAGGGGAATAAATGTGTGCCAGTGAATGGGAATCGGTATTACATGTAAACACTATGTTTAGACTAGTTGGAGTTTGGAATGCTGATATAACCCGAGGCGAAGCCAAGGGTAATTATCAGCATCCAGTACTTGCCAATAGGAATGGGTAAACTGTCTTAGGTATTTATGAATAGGGGATAAAAGTGTGCTGGAGCATTTTTAACTTCAGGTTAAAACCAGTTATTATGATAGCCGATGTGCCTTTAACGTTCTAGAGTAAGTGTCGAAATACAAACGGAAGATTGAGCACGGAACGGTGCGCATTTTTCCAGTTGTTCTCTGTAACTCATGTAGATTTGTCTCTCATGGGAATCAAGTCTGATTTTAAATTGTTTAAAGTTTCGAAAGTGATGTGTTAACTGTTAAGGATGTTTCATACTTGATGCAAAAGGAATCTGGTAGACCATTAAGGTATAATATACGCACGGTATGTTTGAACTTTTTTTTTACCTTATGAAATAAATAATTGAATAAAAACCCACACAATACGTTTGAATTTTCCTGAATGACATTCACTGCCCAGAATGACACCAGCAAATCAGACGGCCAGTTCAAGAAAACGGCAAGCACTGTCAAGTTACGAAAGTACCTACCCGACTTCCAGTTTACTCCAATGAAACAAGGTACAATTTTTAGTTTTGATTTGCAATTTACAAATTAGGCTGAGGATGTGAGAGTTGAAGCAGTTTACTCACAGAAGACTAACCTCTACAAATAATGGTTGATGGCATTTTGCCTTTTTGAGATGTGGCGGACACAGGAGGGCGCTATTTGGTTTGAGTAAATGCAAAAGACGTTACCCAAATTAAACAATGCCCTCCTATTGTGTTAGTCTAAGTATCACCCGTTATCCATGGAGCCTGATATATCTAAGCATGTGTGAAGCCATTTCAAATCCGAAATCAGGACTAAGATTGTGATTGGTCAATTTCGAGGCCGTGCTTTTGTAATACAACAACCTGAACAAAAATGCTACTCATTGTGGGCGTGATGTTTATGCACACGGGGAGCTTGAATTATGCACATATATAAGGCGCCTGCCGATTGGTCAGTTCCGAGGTTATACGCAGTCTAGTTGCATAATTAATCGCCACATCTGCTTACGTATCACAGACCTTTGTCGGTTTTGCCAGGGCCAGAGTCTATTATATAGACCTACTATTTGCCATAACCTACAGTCTGCCATAACCCAAATGGGCTAATAGACCCTATTTGTTTTCAGTAAATGAAGGTGCAATTGAAGGGTACAAACTTGAATCTCTGGTTATTAACAGGTTTAAATGTAGCTGCAATGTAAATATTACATTTTTTGCAATCTTCCTTTTTGAGAGATAAAAAAAATGTGCTGTATTTTCTTCAATAAGCAATAAACATCTAGAAAATGGCATCTTTACAACACCGTCATACATGCATGTGTGCTCAAAATTAGTTTTGATTTGAAACCGATAATTTCTCAGGTTTTTCCACTTATTTTGTTGTTTTCCCCAAAGCTATCAAGGAGACGGTGGACTGGTTTGTTGAGAACTATGACGTCGCTCGCAAGTAACGGCGGAAGATTCTCCAGAAAATATTCCACGGGTAAACATGTCAGAATCAACTGATATTGCTAAAGGCTGGTCATTCCTAACATGAGCAATGGTCATCTAACTTGGCTGGAATTGAGTCTCCCACCGGAAGGAACAATCTTATGTATCATTTAGAAAGTTAGTTTGAGTAAGTTACATGCGAAGAGTTTATTTCCAATAATATGATATCCGGTTCGTTAGTGTGACGTCACTTCAGTTTAAACCATGCCTACTGGCCATTAAGTATCATCGGAACCATTGGAACAGGAAGTTTACGCAACACGAGTGTTTATCCAATCGGCACTAGTAATCAGTGGTGAGCCCGTGTGTATGACAATTTTACTAACGAACTGGATTTCCATTGGGGGGAAAAAGTGAAATAGTTGCACAGTTACGATAAATAGGTATAGAACATGCACAGTTAACAGCTGTTTCTCAACTCCTTTTAGCTTTATGGGATTCTTCAATTGAGGTTAAACTATATGACAACTATCAAAACTGATTGTGGGCGGCCAGGGAGGGCGGAATTCTGAAAGGTAACAAAATGGCATTTATTGCATTTTGGAAGCAAACTCTTCATGTGTTTTGATCATATTATTTTACACATTGTATTCTTAAAGCTGATTCACAGCTTGCGCGAAAGTGAACTAAGTTTAATGGCATCGACAACTAATAACATTTCATTTTGACGCATGCTGCTACTTTACTTAATTCGGTTGGCACTGAAATTCGAAACAGCCTTGATGCTAGTCTTTTATCTCTTGAATTCAGTTCAACTTCAACTGTGCCAATTAAACAGTCTGAACCGGTTGGCATGGGTGGCTGGTGCGTAATGCGCTTGCCTCTAACCAAGCACTCGCCTTTTACATGTACCAGTGTGGCCCGGGTTTGATTTCTGACTCGGACCATAATGGGTCATACGTTGGCTGCCTTAGGCACCTTTACATGCCTTCAGCTCATAGCCGCGTCCTTCGCAATTCAGTTTTCAGCTGCAACTAAGGAAAATTAGCCCCAAAGTCATTACTGTTATTATTGGTTAGCCTCGTACAAGTTTGAGCACTTTAATGCATAGGCAAGTTGACTATGGGTTGGCAATACTCTAACTTGCTAATTGGATTTGCTATTGTTAATGACTTATTCATTGTATTTATTCACTTACAAATTTGGTGGTATTTCGGTTGCTGCAGGGAGTAATAGGGCAGTTTCAGGCAGTAGAGTGATGTTAAAAGTGGGTTTTGGATTAAGATACAAGTTTTATGGGATAGGTTTCTATTTTTCTAGTATCTATATTTATTGTACTGTTCTTTTTTTCCAAAAAAGAAAGAAAAGAAAAAAAGACAATGAAGATCAGGCTTGAAACGAATGCACAAATGTATACATTAAACATAAATGCATTTCTGATATTCATAAAGACCTAAGACAGTTTACCTATTCCTAATGGTCGTAACCTTTCACGTGGTCAAGCTCAAATTAATCCCTTTTATGATTTTTTGAAGTGTAATTTGTTGATACCAATCTACAAAAACCATATTTTATTAAAACAATTTTCTTTCCTTTATGTTTTTATTTTCTTTTCTTTTTATGTCAGTGCAACTGTTTTACAATCTTCATTGTATCTTACGTTTATCTTTATAGTAGCCAATATGCAGATACTGTACGGGACAACTCGACATTAAACATTTGTTGACATCAATGCATGTGAATGTACAAGTCTGGAGGTTTTTTTTTAAAGTACACATATTTCACAAGCTGCCACCTACCAAATCTTTCAAAGTATACCGAGAGGTTTTGGACAATAATTGCAGAAATAATGAAAGGTGTGTCCGGACATAATGGCTAATGGGGGGGGGGGGGGGGGGGGGGGGGGGGGCAGTCGTTTTTATAAATGAGAAATGTATCAACTGAAACCGCAGAATGGTTTATAACAAATGTATAACAATGTACAAAGACGTTGGCTACACACTATCCACGGCCGTATAAATGCTTGTGTGGCGTGTTTTGTCGAAAGTACCAATGTTTATAATGCTTTCATTGGCCCAAAATGTGTCCACATTAAATAAATCTTAACAACAAAGAAAATATAACAATTAAATACATTTGTTGATAAAAGACATGGGAAAACGGGGGGGGGGGGGGGGGGGGGGTTTGCTGGGGGAAATGAAAACACTTTATTTGGGGGGGGGGGGAATGCCTCCGATGCCCCCTAGCGCCACTGTCTGCTGCTAACACGAAGCATGAGGAATCTGCAAAGACAAAAGAAAAATATTTCATATATTACATTTCTTTACATCCGAAGCACACGCAGATATGATCATAAAATGAAGATGTGTCATAAAAATTGATGCGCCACTTCCCCAAGACTAAGACAAAACTTGAAAAGTAGAAACATGAAGGAAAAAACACCATCTGATTCCTTTTTGCTAAATTACCTCAAGAATTGATGAAGACTTGCCCAGCAAGCAGGTCATCAGTCCTTCCGTCGGTCCTCCTCCCTGCTTCCGGTTCCTTGGGATTGAGAACTGATCGTATCTTCGTCCAGAATGATCTCTCATCTTGTAGACCGTCATCTCTGCCAGAAGATTAGAAGGAACACAATCATGTAAGAAACTGTGTGCTGGACAATTATGCGCCTGTTGCTCTCAGTCTTCAGATTTGTTGATTTGTGAAATTGTTAATTATTCTTTCAAATTAAATTTATTTGCCTCTAGATTCATCTTATTTTTTTTAAAAGAAGGTATCGGTAAAGTATCGGTAAATGCTCACACAACACACAGAACAACTTGAATAATCCTAAGACATTTTTTCGAAAGTAAAATAATATTAATTTTGTTTTTACCTGAGAAATCAGTAATGGGATGCCCGGCAAGCAGGGTCATCCAGCCATCCGGTGTTCCTCCTCCCTGCTTCCGGTTCCTCCGTATCATCAGCTCATGATATGAGCCCTCTGACTGACTGGTCCTCCTAATCTAATAGCAAGTTGCTGAAAATAAAAGAAGTCTTCCTAGCGGAGCTAGGTCATGTTACTACAATGTGCAGTGGTTTCCTTGTCATATTTGTGACCGGCGATGTGGTATAAAGAGAAGAAAAACGTATAATAATGGTCCTTACTTGACCACTATAATGATACAATCATTATTCATAGTAAAAGTGAAGTTTAGTTTAAGTCTAGGCCTACCCTACTGTTGCGCATGAATCCCTAATAACCGCGCACTTGGCAATCAACAACATTTAATAACCTTCACACGTAACTTAAAAGTACTTATAGCAAAAGATAATCTTTAAAACATCATTTTCTAGTCAATGATTCTATATAGAATAGCTGATTCAATATACAGGCTACAATTTTTATTCGGGCACAAAAAGTGTGTGTGTTGGGGGAGAGGGGGAAGGGGGGGGGGGGGCAAACGATATAATATTGAAAAGCTAACGTTGATCAAACCGCCACTGGTGTAAAAATCAATTGATGCATGTTTTTAACTCTGTAGATTCAGGTAACACTTTACAAAGCGATTACGACACTTTACTGTATGCGATTTCGACACTTTACTGTATGCGATTTCAAGGTGTGTCAGACGTAACAGGTGTCATTACACCTGATTTACAATATTACGCAAATTGTTAACATGGCCCTAACACACAAAAAAGGCAATTACCGATCTTTGCGAATCGGATATTATGGAAGAACAAATCAGAAACAATTAATGTTAATAGTGAAACATTTCGACAAGGATCGAAGACTGTTTCATGTCGCGGAACAATAATTCTGTGGAATCATTGCAACAATCATTCCGATTAAGTTTCACGGCCGTTACATGTTTCACGGGATCTGAGAGATCTGCACATGGCCTTATACATGTAGAGCTTATTTTTTTTAAACAATAGATCGCCAAATTTTAGTTAAGATGGATGGGCGTAGCGCGTTGCAGTTGAGAAAACTGTTGTCACACAGTAGGTTTGTAAACATGGCCCTATAGTATTTCACTCCATGAACCGGAGGAATATAAGATCTCTTCACCACATGGCCCTAAAATAACTTTGCATAAGAAAGTTTGAAAGAATTTCTATGAAGACAAAGTAAGATGTCCACATGGCCTTAGAACCCTGTAAAGAATCTGTCACATGGCCTTATACAAGTAGAGCGTTATTTTTTTAAACAATAGATCTCCAAGTTTTAGTTAAGACGGATGGGCGTAGCGCGTGGCAGTTGTGAAAATTGTTGCCACACAGACAAGTAGATTAAACATGGCCCTATAGTTCATGGCCCTAACAGGTGAGAAATACCCAGAGTATACAAGCAAACGTAGATCCAACATTTGAGTTTTGTAAGCTTCAAAATAGCTATGGATACTTAACACATGACCCTAGAGTATTTGACACAATGATTCGCACTCAAGACAGGATGAATGCCAAGCGGTGCTTTTATAGGAAAATTTAGAAAATTTGAAAGCATTAGGCTAGTTTTAAAGAAATTTCTACAGAACGGAGGAATATAAGATCTCTTCTCCACATGGCCTTAAAATAATTTTGCACCAAAAATTGTGAAAGAATGTATATAAAGACAAAGTAAGATATGTCCACATGGCCTTAGAACCCTGTAACTAACCTGTCACAAAAGTAAAATAGAAAACACAAGAAAAATCAGGTTTGGCAGAAATTTCTTCAAAACGGCGACGAATTTTTTTTGACATGGCCCTAGGATATTTTTCACAATGAGTACCGTGTAGAACGAAAACGACAATGAAATTTCAAAAAAAAAGTTGATTTGGATACACATGGCGCTAAATATGTAACACGAAATCCGTACAAACATGGCCCTACTATATCTGACAATCATTTTTTTTTTACAAGTGTCAAACAGGATATATTGAGCGTGCAGGATTAAACAAATATGTGCAGATTTAGCAAAAAGCTGAACGATTTACTACACATGGCCCCATAATTTCGACATAAAAATCTTCAAGACAGTAGACTTGTACTCAAATTTCGTATAACTTGTACTCGTTTAACTTTGTTCGCACCCGATTGAACTCGCTGACACGAGCTCATAATCGTACTCGAACTCCGAACTCGAACTCGTGTAATTTTGATCGCAACTAATTGAGCTCGAAAACGAACTTTGTTTGCATTCGAACTCAACAAAACCGCAAATAATTTAAGTCAATAATAAAAAAAACATTTCGACAAGGATCAGATTCTACTTCATATAACGAAATCATAATTCATGGAATCATTGAAACCAACATTCTGATTAAGTTTCGTGTTTCATGCAATCTGTAAGATCTGCACATGGCCTTATATTACATGTAGAACGTTATTTTGTCTAAACAATAGATCTCCAAGTTTTAATTAAGATGGATGGGCGTAGCGCGTGCAATTGAAAAAAAAAATGTCGTAACACAGACAAGTAAGTAGATATGTAAACATGGCCCTATAGTACTCAACTCTATGAACCACTGGTGAAGTTACAACAGGTGAGGAAAACCCAGAGTATACAAGAAAACGTAGATCCATCATTTGAGCTTTTTTTAAGCTTCAAAATAGCAATGGATACCTGTACTTAACACATGACCCCAGAGTATTTTACACAGTGATTCGCACTCAAGACGAATGAATGCACAAGCGGTGTTTAGGAAAATGTAGAGAAATTACAAATATTCGGCTATTAGAGAAATTTCTACAGAACGGAGGAATAAAAGATCTCCTCACCACATGGCCCTAAAATAATTTTGCATAAAACAAATTGAAATAATGTACATAAAAACAAAGTAAGATATGTCCACATGGCAGAAGAACCCTGTAAATAGTCTGTCACATAAGTACAATAGAAAACACAAAAAATATTAGGTTTGGCAGAAATTTCTTCAAAACGGCGACGAAAGTTTTGTGCACATGGCCCTAGGATATTTTCACAATGAGTATCAATGTAGAACGAAAACGCATGTATACACGACTGAAATCTCAAAAAAGGTTGATTCCTATATACACATGGCGCTCAATATTTAACACGAATTGTTACAAAGGGAAAACATATTCCGTACAAACATGACCCTACTGTATCTGACAATCGTTGTCCATAATTTCACATAAAAATATTCCACAGTTTTGCAGTCGTTTACTCGTGTACGTTTTTAGTCCTCGATCTTAGACTCGTGTTACTTTGTTAGCACTCGAACTCAAAACAAGAACTCGATCGAAGTTCGTACTTTACCTTCAACACAACTAAAAATCATAAAACTTTTCGTAGTCAAACTTGAACTCATTCGAATGTTTTTCGTTGTCGAAATCGTGTAACCGTTTGTTTCCGCTCGAACTCAACACGAACTCGTACTCGCTACTAACGAACGATACATTATTTTGTTGTTTTAAGGCCTGCAGTCGGTATCTACCGTCCATTTTTTTCCTATACACAAACATATGGGACAAAGATTGACAAATGATTGACGCTAACTCTGTTCGCACTTGAACTCGAACACGAACTCGTTCCCACGTGTAATTTTGGTCGCACTCAACCCGGAGCGCGAACTCGTACTAGTCTTTTTTTTGTACTCAAACGTGTAACTTTGTTCGCACTTGATCTCGAAAACGAACTTGTACTGTTAACGAACGATAAATTTGATGTTTTTAATCCGTGCCCGTAGGTCCATATCCGCATCGTCCTACTTTCTTCTTATACACATATCGGACAATAATGATCGAC